TCATTCCTTGCCACCCTCCTACAGCAGAGGGGGAAGAGGCTCCCACCACTGCCACTGCACTTGCCAGCCATGAGTCCAGCTTCTGACTGAGTGGCACTCCCCTTGTGGGGGCGCACTGACCACCAGGGGGCAGCTCCTGTATTGAGCACCTGCCCCCTCGTGGTCAGTAGGCATCATAGCAACCGGTCATTCCACCTGTCATTCCACCATTGGATCGATTTGCATATTAGGGTTTTATTATATAGGATATATTTGAAGGGTTGTTGTTTTCATGTACAAAAAGATAGCCTTCTGTCATAAGGTAGATGTCTTGAATATCCCATTCATAAAAATTCACTTAGTCCAGCTTAATGATGCCTATGTCCTTGAGTACTGACAGAAACACTGGCTACCCATGTTGAGGCCATATTTCTGGATCAGACCATGGCAGTTTTAGCAGATGCAGCAAGAATGAGGACCCTGGTCAAATTTCCTCGGATGGCTCCAGGAGAGTTATTGGTGATCCATCTTGCTCTCTCTGTAGCAAGGAGGCAAAAGTTTTTCTCAATATAATTTTGGTGTTATCTTACTTAACCCTGGAAACTAAGAAGGCAGGAATCATTATCTTACTTTTTAAAATGAAGAACTGAGGCTCTGAGAGTTTAAATGATGTGTCCAAGTTTATACAAGCAATGCATTAGTTCTTGGGTCAGGACTAAGTCCAGGCCTACCGACTCTAGGACAATACTAAGTGATGCCACCTTTCAACATTCTAAAACTAATTTTATTTATTTTTTGTTTTTATTTCACATTTTTTATTGTTTTTATATCTTAAATTTTTATTGTCTTTCATTCTGATTTGCACTCCCACCTTTTCCTTATTAATATATTGGTCTTATATTGATTGTTGATAGAAAAATAGTTATGATCCCAAATCCCTGGATTGCCTGGCAGCAAAGAACAATCTAAGAAAATAATTTATAGTTATTATTTGTTTATGTGGTTTCGTGAACCTCAAGCCCTTCCCTGTATAATAGTAGTCCTTTGGGTCTTTGTGTACCGCAATAAGAGAGCATGATAGAAAGATGAACCCTAGAAAATGAGATTTTGTGAAAGTGATACCCGAATGGTGAGCTGAAGTTTTTCCCCCAGGATTGTGTCTAACGAAGCTGAAGAATGAAATCAAAGACCAGAAGATTTAAGCAAAAGCATGGAAAATTTATTGCAAGTAGATTCAGACTCTCTGCTCATGAAGGGGGTCCAATAATGGGTTGTCACTGAAGCCTTTTAGTCTAGGGGATTATATATGTTGTTACAAGCCTACCCTATATCTACCCATGGGGCCACCTGATTGATTCCCTCAATTGTTCTAGCCCAGCAACAAACCTGGACTTCCCCTCTTCTTATGCCTGAACTTACCTTGTTGTTGCAGCCCTTCCCTGGTTTCACATACCTCCCACTCTGAGTCTACACATTGATATTTCTGCATGGTTGGTGTCTGTGGTTAGGCTTGCTCATTGCCGTGTCTGTCCCTGCCGACTTTCCACCTGCCTTTGTTTTCTACTGGACCCCTGCCCTATCTGCCTGCATGTCAAGCTAACTCCTCTCAAAAGTAAAACTTATTTATTTGATGAGCCTTAGCTATAGAATTGTAATTTTAGGTAATAAGGCCAACAGTTAGGTAATAAAAGGCTTCAGAGAAATAAATTACTGTATTTAAAATGCCTTTCTTAACAAGAGCAGGAAAATAAAGTAGGAGAATATTTATATTCTGGTGGTTACAAAAATAATATAAACAATGAGGGAAATGAAGCAACATCTTTCAACATTGTTATTCACTCTAATTACAAGATTCCCTTTATATGTTTACTAATAGTTGTGGTGAAAACCAAGATTCATCTGAGATAATGAAAAATACAGGGTATCAAAAAAAAACAAAAAAACACTATATACACACTTTGAATAATTACTAATTCCAATGGGTTAAATCTGAAAAGAAAGAAACATCAAACTTAAGTGCTATCAGCTCTTAAGTAAATTTTTGGGGGGCATCCTGTATATATTGGTCTCTGCTCCTTGTTCCTGGCACACAGTTCTTAAAACCCTTGTAATTTCCTAAGTGATAACAGCATTAGGAGCAACTTTTATTCTAAAATTTGACCTCAGTGCCTGACACAAGAGTTCTTAAATAATTTGGAATTTCCCGGGTGTGGTAATGTATTTTGTTCTAATGAGATAACTCTTGGGGAACTTCTGGGTGGGGGCTGGTCATCAAGGGGACCAAGTCACAGTTAGAAACTAGACACTCCTCTAGAAAAAAGAGAGAACTACAACCCAGAACATGCAGACATGGCAAATTCACCACCACAAATAAAAAAGAAGTTCTTATATAGATGGTAAAAAGAAGGCTGTTGTAATAACCAGAGTTCTTATTTAGTTTTTTAACTAACATAGGAATAAGAGTTCCCCCTCCAGGCCCTCCAGATTCCAATCTGATTGAGGTTAACTATTAATTTTTTTAACATATAACTTTCAGCCCCATGTCCTATTCTCCAGAAAGGGAAGAGGGATTGGAAGTGACTTAATTATTGATCCTGCCTACGTGATGAAGCCTCCATAAAAATCCAAGGATATAGCCCTAACTGGTGTTGCTAAATGGTTAGCGTGTTGGCCTGAGCATCAAAGGGTTGCAAATTCAATCCCTGGCTACAATTGGGAATGTGCAGAAGGCACATCAATGTTTCTCTTTCACTCTCCTTCCCCTACTCTCTCTTCCACTCTCTCTCTAAAAATCAATATCATGTTGTTGCTGTTAACCCTCACCCAAGGATATTTTTATTTTTATATTCAAGACTTCTGTGTTTTACTGCTGAAGTAGGAATACAGCAAAATAAATTGGGGAGTCCTTGAATAACAGTACCAGAGGAGACAGGAGACAGCAGTTTACATCGTAAGAGTCTACCTTGCCTAAGGAAAAGGAGCTGTTCCATGCTCCAACCTGACTCAGAATTCTCCACTGGGATTGGGAGCCAAGGCCCAGGTAGTTAACAGAGCATCATTTAACACGGTTTTGTTCTCTGGGACTATATTTCCTTCAGGAAATCTAGGGAGCAATGTTAATGAAGGTAGATTTTGTTATTTGCAACTCATATTCCAATCATATATTTATCTAGAGATGTAACCACCACATTTTGACATGTCATATATGTAAAGACATATATTAAAATACAACCGAAGTGACATATAATATATTTAATGACACGTAATGGGAAAATGATACACATATAGTACAGAACTCAACCAGTTAGATTGTTTACAGAAAAATTAATAACATGAGACAAATACTTGTAATGTTAAATGAAAAATGTAGATACAGTATTTTATAATTGGTAATTGAATAAAGTTATTTTAATTGAATAAAGGGCAATTTTTACTTTCTTGTAGGTGGATGAAGAAACTAGAAGGGAATATATAAGAATATTGGCAGTGGTTTCCTTAAAGTATTGGAATTATGGGTGATGGAGTTTGAATTTTTTTAATGCATTTCTGTACTCCTTAATGTGCATGTGCTTTATTTATGATAACATAAATACTTCTTAAATGTCAGCAACTCTTAAAAAGCAATGTTTCAGGATAAATCCACTACTAAATATTTTAAGAATTTGAATCTAAAGCGCCACCATCTATAAAAGAAATGAAATATGTTCTGTGTCAGTGTAGGTAGGACAGTGATCAGCAGGTAATAGACATTGAAGAATAGATTTCAACTCAGTATAAGCAAGAGTTTTTCGATACTTAGAGCTGTCCTGGAATGGAATACTAGTAGTTTCTCTCAAGATGCTGTGCGCTGGAAGTGGTCAAGCAGAGCCAAAGGGCTTTTTGCCCTAGGAGATAGTGAAGGGAGAAAGACGAGGAGACAGTGGGACTAGATGATCGCTAGTGCCCTTTTCACTACTAACATTTTATCAACTTGTCACTCATTCACGTATTCATATGACTGCCAAGATGGTCCCCAATGATCCTTGCCTACTGATGGCCATGCCTTATTTAAAACCTCCCACGTTGAAGAACCTGATTCATGGAATTATAGGATATTGTAGGAAGGATGGAGTATGACTTCAGAGGCTAGACTATAAAAGATATTGTGGCTTCTGCCTTCTCTTTCCTGAGTTGTGGAATAAGTCAGCTGCCATGTCATGAGGACACTAAAGCAGCCTGCAGAGAGGCCAAGGTGGAGAGGAAATGAGGACTCCTGCCAACAACCAGCAAAACACTTGCCAGCTATTAGAGTGATTCCCCTTGGAAGCAGATCATCCAGCCCCAGCAAAGCCTTCAGATGACTGCATCCCCTGCCTTCATCTTCACTGCAACTTCATGACAAACCTTAAGTTAGAACAACTCAGTTAAGCCATGCCTGAATTCTTTACCCACAGGGACACTAAGTTTGGTAGTAATTTGTTATATAGCATTAGATAGCAATACAATGCATTTTTACCTGATTTGTTTCACAACAAATTTGACATAATATTCTTTGATTCAGTCACTCTTTTGCTAATAAGAGTTTCTTAAGGAGGCACAATTGTTACAGATGCACAATAGCAGCCTATTCATTTAATAGTATGGTTTAGCTCAACACAGTTTGGTGTCTTAACATAGTCCAATAAGAACAATGACAACTTGGCTTTAGGATGATTCATCTTAATTCTTTTCCAATAGAAGAAAAAGAAATGTTCTCTTTGTTTCCTATGGTTTTGGTGTCTGTAGTTGTAGCTATAATTGTGTCATTTATATTTCTCAGCTTCTACCCATCAATATGCTCAGAAGAAAGATATGCATTTAAAAGGGCCCCCCTCTTTTTTTCTCCAGCATTATACCACCTAGCATAGAGATTTTTAAAATATGTTTAAACAAACCATAGGCAAAGACAAAAATTCTATAAATTGTTCTCATAAATAGATGACCAAATCACCTCTGAGGTTTTCTTGTGTGTGTGTGTGATTTTTTTTTTTTAATCCTATGTGTTAACATCTGAAAGTTATGAGATATTCGGGGTAAGCTTGATTATCAAAGAATACCACAAATAACTTTGGATGGTGCATATCATCTGTGACAGAGTCAAAGAGATCTGTAGAATTGTAAGGGTTCTTTGGTGGAGGCGTAATTATTCCTTCACGTCCAAGTGTATAGACTCCTGTAAGTACTCGTACAACATAAATATGTTTCCTCCCAGTGCTATCTGGTCTGGCGTATTTATCATTAGCAGAATAACTGGCATCAACAGCAAAATAAGTTCCTTTTCCATAGGCTACAGCTGCAGAGAGAAAGACAAAAGCTTTTATAAGAACATAAAATTATCACAGTTTGCAGAACCATACCCAAACCTAAAAAGTAAATAAAATTTGAATGCAGTTATTGGTCACCACAGCCACATTTCTAAAATTCCCTTCATCTGTCCTGGAAAGTTTGCCAGTCTCCTTTTGGGTGAAATAGAATGAGCTCTATCCTGACAATGACAGTATGGCTGCCATCTATGGCTACACTGCTTGGGTATGGATAGTCAACACTAGAACATCCATTCACCTCATTCTGATCAGTCAGATTACTTGCTTCCTTACCATTCTTCCCAGCATAACTGCGATTAAAGCCGTGCTGATTGACATGTGGCACTGAGTGTGCATCTGTCCCGTGGAAGAGGATTTTCTCATTATCTATATGGCCATTCTTGATGTCCATGTGATTTTTCTTTACCTGGTAGCTCTGCCAGAGAAATTCATTCTGTATCTTCTCAATCTACAAATGACAAAGAGCAAAACATCTGGATATGACTATAAAGCTCAGTACAATGTCTGCTGTGGTCTTTAAGCAATAGAGAGAAGGAGGAGAAGGAAAATGCAAAAACCAGCAAATTCAGAGTGGGTAATGACAAAAGAAAAATTCTGAGATGTTCTACACTGAACTACAGTGGGCTGGAGAGTGGAAGACCAAACAGTTAACAAGATTGCTCTCATTCCTGAGTATATGTTGGGCGGTGAACCAACTTCTAGGCAGCTGTTGCTGAGATTATCTAAATAAGAGAATAGCCAGGCACCATCAAACCCCAGAAGCCTCCTCAGCTTCTTGTTTACACATTAATTTTCCAGATAGTTGCCCACCAGGAGTCTGAATGAGCAAACACTTCTGCCTGACCAACTCTGTGCCTATCCCAGAACTAGCCCGGCCTTATCTTTCCCCACACTCTTTCTCTACCTCCAGCCAATGTAAATTCTTTCAAACTATGATAGTACTCTTCTTCCCCCTCCTTGATGCAAAATGCTTGCTGACTCCAGAAAGGCAGGCATGCTATCTTTTCCACTTGGCACGGCTGCAGGAGGTTTAGACTTCACGCCTCAGGACCTGGTCATTTTTCTTGGTAGCAATGACCCAGACAACCCTTTCTTTTCAAAAGACTTGCAGTGGTGGAAGTTTAAGGTTTTGTTTAACAGTAGCTTTTTGCCTTCAGAAAAAGGATAGGCTAAATGCATCTGTATGTTTTAATCCTGCTTATTATTGTTATCTACTTTTACATAAAAGAACTTAAATTTATATTAAAATGTTTACCTGAAATCCCTAGAAATGTATTGACATTCAAATGCCTACTCAAAAATTTGTAATCATTTAATAATTATTTCCATAATTCCTTCAGATCTCCCAATCATAATTCTTCCTGCATTGCTCCAATTATGGTCACAAATCACTTCATAACTGCCTATTTTAATGACTATTTCTTTCCAGAGATATCAACAGCATTTCAAACTATGAACCAACCTCTCCTTGGAACTTTGTCCTTCAATTTTTTCCCCCAGAAAATCATTCTCTATTGGCTCTCATTCCTTCTAGAGAATGAATTTAATTCACTAATCATCTATTGAACATCTAGTGTGAATGAGGCACTGTGTTGGGTCTCTACCTTCAAAATACTTTCAGTCTAGAGGGAGAGAAAGACAAGCAAACAAATCACCACCCCTCACTGTCATAAGGGATGGATTAGGAGAACATACACGGAGTATGAAAGCATCAGGAAAAAAAATCCAGATAATCTACATCTCGGGGGAGAGTAGGAAATCTGAGCAAATGGTGTTCTGGAAAGAAAGGCAGAAGGGTTGAAGAAGAAGGGAATGGACAACTGTAAGCAGATATTGAGAGGAAACCAAGTGATAAAAGCAGGAGGGAAAGTTATCTTATTCTGCTAAGTGTGATGGAAGCCTCATGATGAAGGTTTGGAATAGGAAATGGATGAGGGGGTTGACTGGAGAAAGCAAGGGAGGATTCCAGGTACCTGAAGGTTCAGCAAAGGTTGGAGACCATGAATTAGTAATGAATTTATTTAGCAGGAGAGAAGGTAAGTTATGGAATTAATTCAAAGTTAATGTTTTTTAAAATGGGTATAATAGAAGTGTAAGAGCCAATAATGTTGCAGAAATTGGGTAAACAAATCAAAGCGAGGTTCCAGTACTCCCAACAGCTTTAAACATAATGAAGCATCTCCTCCTTTAAATCTGTCCCTTCTACAATCTCTCTTTCTGATTCTCCTTCTTTCTCAGGAATTTTTACTCATTCCTTCGATAGGTATTATGTCCTACAATATACTAAGTACTGGGAATGCAGAGACGAATAGGAGGTGATTCTTACCTTACAAAGTCCGCAGCCAAACAGGGGAATCAGGCATGTGCAAAGTTACCAAAGCACAATTTCATAATTGCTGTAATGTAGTTAAGTATACAGTTTTATGGAAGAACCAGCTAGATTTTAAATCACTAGGCTGTTGCACCCTGCTCTGATACCTATGGTATGATAAAGACCTTCTAATAAACTTCTACACTTTACTGGCTAATATTTTTATGCAGCATAATGAATGGACATTGTACAATCTCTGGTCATCCATTCCACTTCGTCCCCATTGTGGAGAAACTTCTGATTTGGCTGGAGTTGACCCTCCTTATAGTTCTAAAATGGAACCCAATTGGGTTAAATAAATCTCATGATAGGTTCCAATAGCCCAGGTCCAAGGCAATCAGTATATGGTAACTTCCCCAACCCATACTGGTTTGAGCATCCCACTCAACACAAAGCCTGGTATTCTTATCTAATAATTGTGTGACAGGACACAGGGTCTCTTCTGAAGAATGCGAATAGGGGAAGCTGAGACTCTCTGTTTGACACCAGCAGCCATCCCATAATCATGAAGGGAATCCTGCCTTCAAACAAGGCTGACACTGTGAACCACAAATCCAGAGAAACTGGATCCAAGTAATCATCGAACCACTGGATCAAACTGCTCCAAACACCGTCCTACTTCTGGACTTTCCATTAAGTTCCAATATATTTCTTTTTTTTAATCAGTTTCAGTGGGTGTTTTTTTTTAATTGTAAGTGAAAGTATCCCAACATATACATATAACTTTTGGGGGTCTCCTTCGTTATTGTTAATGCATGAATCATGAGATTTGAAGTTTATGGAACTTGAGTGAATCCAATCTATACTATAATAATAAAAGGTAATATGCTAATTAGACCAGACATCTTCTGGACAAAGTCATTGTGGTGGGGAACAAGGCAGAAGAGGTTAAGGGCGATCAGGCAGGCAGGAGAGCAATTAGGAGGTGATCAGGCCAGCAGGAGAGAGTAGTTGGGGATGATCATGCCAGTAGAATAGAGCAGTTGGAGCAGTCAGGCCAGCAGAATAGAGCAGTTGGGAGCAATCAGGCAGGCAGGCAGAGGTGGTTAGGGATGATCAGGCAGGCAGAATGGTTAGGGGCAATCAGGCAGGCATGCAGAGTGGTTAGGGGCAATCCCACAGGCAGGCAGAGTGGGTAGGGGTGATCAGGTAGGCAGGTAGGTGAGTGGTTAGGAGCCAATGGTCCCAGATTGCTAGAGGCATGTCCAACTGCCAGTTTAAGCCTGATGCCTAAAGGAGTCCTGGATTGGAGAGGATAAAGGCAGGCTGAGGAACCACACACACACACATGCATGAATTTCATACAACAGGCCTCTAGTTAAAATATAGGATATTTTAAAAGAATCTTATATAAAAAGATAGCTTTCATGTTAGTTCTTCAATATTTAAGAGAAATCATTTTTAAAATGCAATATTACCTTCTCTATTCTGTATGAAAAACAAGTCTGAGAGAATCTATTCTTCACAGTGTCATATTCTGACTGTCCAGGTTGTAGCTGGATCACACGAAACAGCTGCTGATTCATGTCAGACCAATATTCAGGAATATTATCTGGAAAGTTAGCATTTGGAGAAACATGACATTCATTACCAGGGATCTCTGAAAACCTAGGCATTTCTAATGCTCTTTCTTCTCATTCATTCATCTAATTCTAGTCTTTGGGATGGGAGGAAGCTACAACTCTACTATCCTAAATTTGGTGAACACAGATGAAGTGAACAGTTCTGACACTAATACCACATAGGTTAATTAATGGGTTCGCTAAAATACTTAGATAAACTTAGATTCACTTTAGCTTGAAATGATAATTTTCCCAGAAATTTCTATGGAATTAATTCCATAAGAAGCTAATATGTAAACATGAAAGCTAATTTATTGGTGTTTTCACTTTTCTAAGTTCTATTTAGTGTGGCTCTATTATTTTTCTTTTGCACCACAATTATCTTGCTAAAGATGTTTAAAACACATTGTTCTGTATCCCATCTTCCTTGCTAAGTAAACACCACCTAAAGGAAATAACCCAACTGCTTACTGAACGCTTTCACATAATCTCACAAGCTCAAAGTTTCCCTTTGCTTTCCAACAACTTCCACAAACTTTAAACACACTGAGCTACATAGACATCAGCGTCCTGAGATGGTATGACTAGTAGAAATATGGGCAGATTGTATTAGAAAAGAAAATGCCACAATACCACAGATTAAAACCAAAGTATTTCTTCTTACAAAGTCACAATTTACCCATTTTTAGTGAAAAATATGCCAGGCCTGGGAGAGGGATCTAGGGAACTCCCATCCTGTTTTCCAAGTCCATCCAGGGAATGAAATCCTACCGACAAAGAGAAGTATCTAAACCTAATCTGGGAGATCTTTCAAATTCCATTTTCAAAGAGTTTTTCTGGAAAAGTTTTCCCATGGTAGGGTGTGTAGTTTCTGCAAATTCAGTTCTTTTCTTTCCCTCACTGTCCACCCCTTCTAGATCTTTTGGCCTAATCATTTGTAGTCAGAGGGGTTAGAGTTCTCTTGGACCTGCTCTTTGTTTTTCTGAATGCAGCAGGCAAGACTGGAAAGAAAGGGGAGTGTTTCTTTAGGCCCTCCCTTCCTTTCACACCATGAGCTTACAGAGCAGAAAACCACCAGCATTTGGAGTCAGAAGACCTGATAAGCCTCAACCTGTGACCAGCCATGTAAATCTTCATTTCCTCATCTACAAACTGGAGATAATAAGATCTGCTCTCTCTACCACCTTATGGCATTGTTACAAGTTTAAAGTAAGAGGCATTAAAGCCTTCCTAAACAAACACATGGTTATTGTTCTTAAAAAGTGATTGTGCTTGGTCTTTTCTAAAGCCCCATGCTTCATAAAAAATAAAAAAAACAAACAAAAAAACAAAAAACAAACAAACATGTGAGCCACCTTTTTTAAAGAGTACTGGACACTTTCTTGAGCTCTTTCCCTATAAATACCTTTTAAAAGATAAATCTCTCTCTCCTTTCCCATTCCTGGTGTTGAAGACAAATGCCCTCCTATACCTTTCCTTGTGTGCCTGCCTCAGTCTCCTCTCTACAAGTGAAGAAGAGAATGAGTGATAAAGAAAGACAGAGTCCAGATGATATCAAATGAGCAACTGGGTCAAACTGGGCCTGAAGTATGTCTGGACTTTATAGACAGGTGAGTCAATGAATTCCATTTTTTGCTTAAGCTAGTTTAAAGTGGATTTTCTATTACTTGCTACTGCCAAATCCAACTAGTATTTCTCTTTATTTTGTGTGTGTGCATAGAGCTCTTACATGTACTGTGTGTTGCATCACATTGAGGAGAATAGTTATCAGGAAGTAAGTGGAGGGAGAAATTAAATTCTTGCTGTTAGACAACAATTCTCAGTTTAGGAAGGCTGCTGATGTCAGGTATGCCTCATTGCCAGTAAAACTCAGTGCTTTCTGGGTAAGTGCTCAAAAAAAGGGTAAAAACAGTGATTGCAAGAGGAGGCTGGGTTTCTAGTTATTTTAACAGCAATATAGAAGTCATGAAATGGGAGAAGGTTGGATCAGAGGAGCAGGTCAATATAGATACTTTCACAGCAGGAATTTGTTTGCTCATGATGTAATACAACCAGATGGCCCTGGCCTCTCTTTTCTAACATCTGCTTTTGATCACAGGCTACCTTGTCTAGAGATAGATGATCAATAAATCAGTATTGACCAGCTAGTTCATAGCTTCAAGAGGCACTGATGGTCAATACCAAACAAAAAGGAAGAACATGAGATCATTGGCTTGGATTTTCAAAGTCTATTCCCCTCTTTCTGATCTCTCAGCCCTTTTCTTCTCTTTCTGCTCATTTGTTATTCCTGTTTCTCAGGCATGATTTTGTCCCTCAGAAGAATAATCAGTTGACAGGAGATTGTGCTCCATAGTTCCTATACTTTTCCCAAGTATTATAGTAGGTTTTCTGTAAAGCCCTAAAACTGATAGAAATAATGAGCATTTGCATTTAAACACTTTCTAAGTGATATTACAGATAACCACATGATTTTTAAAAGAACATCTTACATGCAGCCTTGGGAAATGTGGACTGAAAGGTAGGTGATGTTGCTATTCCTTCTCTTTTCTTCATGCTGACATAGAATACATTCAGCAGCTCATTTACAAAGATGACAACTTTAACTTTTTTTAATGATGGAGTAGAATGTTTACACGTGAAGTCTACAATAGCATTGATTATATCATCAGCAACTCTGATTGGGTTTTTCCCAGCATTTCCTGGAGAGAAAAAAAAAAAATTAAGTGACAAAAGTAGTTTCAGCTGGTGTTGGTCATGTGATCAGATCTGGCAAATGTAGTTCCTGATGCTAAGAAAGAAGAAAGCAACACCCTACAGCCAGAAACTGATCTGGCACTCATAGCTGGGTCTTGGTATTCTCTGAACACAAGTTATTTCATAGAGCATCATCGAATGTAACCACTCTGTAACCATGATGAATTAAGCCAAAAGGAGACCCCTGCATAGTCATGTCTGACTACAGACAAAAATATGAAAACTATCCAAACCATAGAAATGGCTCAACACCCCTATCTTGACTAATATGAACAATCAATCTTCATTACCAATCACAGCTTTAGCTACATTCTGATCTTCTTCCAGATAATATACCCAATCATACAATTGCATCCACTTCCTGAAAGCATCCAATTCACAGCAACGCCCTACTTACTTGTGACTGCCATGAGTTGCCTAGCACAAGCTCAAATCTATTAATAAGTCCTTTTCACAACTGCTTGCTGAGATGCGGCATAGTTCCCCATAGTGTGTACTCCTAGTGGTTTTAGCTGAAGGGAATTGGAAGTGCAGAGAAAAGAACATGCTATTTGGATACAGAAGATCTGGGTTTATATCCTGGCTCTCCACTGATTTACTGTGTGATCTTACATAAGTCATTTGATCCCACATATTAGTTTGCTAGGGCTGCCATAACAAAGTGCTATGGACTAAGGGCTTAAGCAACAGAAATTTATTTTCTTAAAATTCTGGAGGCTAAAAGTCTGAGATCAATGTGTTGGAAAGATTAGTTTCTTCTGAGGCCTCTCTTCTAGGCTAGTGGATGGACATCTTCTGGCTATCTCCACATGGCCTTCCTTCTGTAGCTATCAGTCTCCTCTTCTAACAAAGACATCAGTTATGTTGGATTAGGGACCGCTCTAGTAACCTCATTTTAACTTAATTACCTCTTAAAGGCTGTTTCTCCAAATACAGTCACATTCTGAAGTAGGAATTAAGGCCTCAATAGATGAATTTTGGGAGACACAACTCAGCCCACATCACCTCTAAACTTCAGTTTACTCAGCTATAAAATTAGAGTGATAAAGAAGATAGTAGATATTAGAGATAAGAATATGTTAGCAAGACTATAGTAATTAAGAGCATAGTGGTAAAAAAATAAAAATAAAAGGTAGTATAAAAAAAGAATAGTTGAAATGTACAGGCTAAACTGCCTAGGTTTGAACTTAGTTAGGTTGCCTTCTAGCTGTGTGACCTTGTGCTTTTATATTTTAAGTTCTTATCTATCAATGGGGGATTCATTGTCAAGGCTGGGTTCACATACATTGTAAGTTTTGAAATGTATACATCTCAGAAGAAGAACATAAAATTCCAAACAGAAAATTATGATAAAAGTGAATATTTAGAATCATAAAAGAAATCGCAACCAAGTATAAAATTTTAAATGCTGAAAATGTATTCCTAAGTCAACTTTTTAAGCTCTTTTCTAAAAATGCTCGCAGCCATTCCAACACCCAGTGCCCAGGGAAAACTGAGAACTCAAAGCGAGAAGTAACAGTGGTCTTAGCCCGTGGTGACCTCACGTTTGAAGTTTTATTAAATCATATAACCCCTCTCAGGAGTTCTTTAAAAGCATGAGCAATCAGGTGTGAATGAATCAGGGAGTGAGTGAGCTATTAACATCATCTTCAACTAGGAGCAAATGATTGTATGATATGATAGAGACGGTGAGGAAAGTGTTCCTAGAAACTGTGAGCAGGATGAATCTGAGCTTGTTGGTTAAGGGCAGAGACTGTATCTTAGTCGTGGCTTTATGCCGAGTGCCTTGCACGGGGCCTGGGTAACTGCATTTCAATCTAATGACTCCACAAATGAGGACCCAATTGGGAAACACAGCAGTAAACCTGCTGGGAGTGGTCTTATGGGTTTGGAAACGAAAAAGAAGGTTGAAGCTGATCCACCCTCTGGAAGAAGATTTAACAGGACCTGCTGACTACAGGGGTCTGGGACACAAAGAAGCAAGCGTGGTAGGACAGCTGGGAGTTCATGGCACCACAGAAGGAGGAAACTAGAAAATGAAATAACTCAAGAGATGATGATGAGTTCGGATTGTAATATCATCATGTTTCTGGTGACAGAGAAATCTCCCAGAGAAGATTCTGGAGAAGGTTAGAAATGCTGATTTGGGAGACAGTGCTGAAATGGTCATTGATATAATGATAACAAATGAGTCCCCCAAAGGGGGGGAGGGGGGCGGGAAATGAACAGTGGGAAAACCTTGATGGGCCAAACATGGAAAGATGCTTAGGAAACCTAAAATAAGGAAAAGGATGGGTAAAAGGGGCTCAGGACCCTAGAAGGGGCTGACAGGTTGCCTGCCCATTTTCTGCTTTACCTCACTGTCGCTTTCTGGACTCAGCATTGAGTTTATTAAAAGTGAGGTTGTCTAAAGGAATCTGGGTAATTCTGAATCTTTGGTGGTGAGAGGCTACAAACCTGTTCCAATGGCAGGAAGGGCAATAGACGTGTACTTCCTCTGTTCACACTCTTTCAGAACACTGGAAACTGATTTCCTGACATCGTTTCCTCCCGGGACATGAATTATTATATGGCACGATAGGAATCCACCTTGTGTAACTATATAATCTCTGTGAGGCTGTGTCGCTGGGGGGGGAAAAAAAAAAAAGGAAATACACACAGAACATTAGTTACGGGAAGCAACTCTGATTTTTGAGAAATGAAAATAGCTGACAAAGGAAAAAGCCCCGAAGATTCCTGACCAAGGGCAACCTCCCTCGATCGAGCTGGTTTCACTCTCCGGGACTGGGACAGGCTCATTTCCTTTACAATCCGGGTTATTCATTATTGAATATTTTGCACCTGAGTTCATTCACTCACTCCTCAAAGCCTGTGACATAGGTTCTGTTTTCTCCATTTCATAAATTTAACAGCAGCCAGCGGTGGTTAAGGTCAGCAGCCGAAGACTGCCCAGGCTTTGAACCTAAGCAGTCAGTGTCCAGAGCTCTCAACTCCCTCTCTACTGTCCAGAGGAGTAATTTATACCTCATTCGGCCAGATTCACTTTTAAGGAGGTGAAAGTAGTGGACTGTGTGGTGTGGAGGTGTGAAAGCATGAAAACTTCCCCTCCCTCAGAACCCACAGAGCTCATAGGCACATGGAAATTAGCAGGGCTTGCTTTAAGGCACTGCCTTTTTGCTCTCTGAGCAAAGCAAGGCTTCAGGAAAATACTTGAGGAGAACTGGTCCCTGCCCACTTCACCCTTCTGGCAAGCTTCCATCGCGCAGGCACTTCCTGCTGCCCCTCAAGTGTCCACCTGCTCTCCTCTCCCAGGTATCATCCTTAGACTTTTCCAGCTGTCAGGCCAGCTTCATGCTCTGCTTCTGCCTTCCAAGCTACAGCTAGCTCTTGCAGCACACAAATAAATCCCTGCTGATGTCCTCCAGTTGGGACCAAGAGTACCATCCTCTGATCTCTCTCCAGCAATTTATTCACTCTAGAGAAAATGTCTTAATCAGAGGAGAGCTATTAAGGTGGGAGTTCCAGGCATGACAATAGGTCAGTTGTGGGAATGTGCTGTCAAATAACTTCTCCAAATCATACTCAGAGCTAACTGTCTATTCTGCCGAGGTTCAGTCCTGGTTTTGAAGGATGAACAGTTTATACTCACTCTTACAGGTTCTTCACCATGCTATAATAAAAAAATAAATATTTAATTCCTGGCTCCTGGTTCAGAGTTCCTGGAGCCCTTCGAATCCCCTGAGTGATAAGAGTATCTCTTATACATTAACTAGAGGCCCAGGGCATGAAATTTATGCATGGGAGGGGGAGGGTCCACTCAGCCCGGCCTGCACCCTCTCCAATCCAGGACCCTTTGGGGGATGTTTGATTGTGGGTTTAGGCCTGATCCCTCTCACAATCCTGGACCACAAGCTCCTAAACGCTCACTTGCCTGCCTGCCTGATTGCCCCTAACTGCTCCCCTGCCAGCCTGATTACCCCTAACCACTCTGTGCCTCTTTCCCCATACCCTGTCCCATGCTGGCATAAAAAAATAAAAAATAATAAATAAAATAAAATTTTTAAGTACACTCCTGCCTGGTGCGCCACATCAGCAAACTGAACTCTCAAACCAAACCCTCCTTTTCCTATGTTTCCACTTGGTCAGAAACATAGTATATCCAGACAGCTAATCCCCAAACACCAACTCTGAACCAACTCTAAGCACTATATTTATTTCCTTGTTCCCTAATCTTTCTAACTAAAGTCCAATATACAACCCCAGCCAATCACACACTGTTTCCATGCTCCCACTTCCAATCCTCTAGAAAATTTGCTCTTGCCCACAGTCCCTCAGGAAGAGTGCTCCATACTTGTAAGGCACTGCACTCCCCTCCATAGGTTGTTTTCTTAAATAAAGGACCTCACACTCATCATCAAATTGTTTTAGTTTTGTCATTTGACACATTTCTTTCACTTGGCTGTCCCTGAGTTGTACCCTTTACAATAAACTGGGAAAGGTAAGAAAAGTGTTTTTACAGAGTTCTATGAATAATTCTAGTAAATTGTTGAACCTGAGAAGGGGTTATTTGTAACCTCTGAATTTATAGCCAGCCAGTCAGATGTACAGGTGGCTCCTGAGACTTAAAACTGGCATTTGAAGGAGGCGGGGTGGGAGAAGGGCTTGGGCAATTTTGTGGGACTGAGACCTTTAACTTGTGGGATCTGGTACTAACTCAAGTAGGTAGTGTCAGAAGTGAATAATTGGTTGGTGTCACAAAACCCCTCAGACCCACACAGGCTCACTTAACCTATATAATGAAGAGGTAATTTGCAAATTAAGCCTCATGCCCTCACAAAATGGCTGCCTATCCAGGCCGACAGAGGGTTAGTGAGGGATAACCAAAAAACTGAACAAGCTGGCTGTGTGGGGCAACAAGGCCTGGAGGAGGGGGGGTATGAGGGGTAACCAGGGCAGCAGGGGGAGCAGTGATGGGTGACCAGGCCAGTGGGGGGGGGGCAGTGACAGTCAACCAGACTTGCGGGGGGGTGGAGGAAGTAAGGGGCAATGAGGTCAGTGTGGGGGGGAGCAGTTAGGAGCGACCAGGCCAGCAGGGAGGGGGCAGTCGGGGGCTATCTGGCCGGCAGTGGGGGGGGGGGCAGTAAGGGAGACCAGGCCAGCACACCAAGGCAGTGAGGGGCAATCAGACCAGTGGGAGAAATGGGCAGTTAATAGCAACCAGGCGAGCAGGCAGGTGATTGATTAGGATCCAGTGGTCCAGGATTATGAGAGGGATATATGCTGGTTTAGGCCCGATTCCAGCTGTTGGACATTCCCCAAAAGGTCCCGGGTTGGAGAGGGTGCAGGCCAGGCTGAAGAGACCCCTCTCACCCCCCGTGCATGAATTTCATGCACTGGGCCTCTAGTTTATTCATAAAAGGAGTAAAACTCAGGTTCATGCTGTGCTATGTGAAGTAGAATAAGACTGGGGTAAGTAAAAGGTCATTTATATAGCACTTTACAGCTTACAAAACTTTCTTTACATTCATTTTTCCTTCTCATTCTCACAACCACATGTGGGATAGCCATTGTCATACTCCTCATCAGTAGAACTGTCTTATGGGTGAAAGAAGAGAAGCAAAGCTCAGGGAGAATCCCTGAGTAGAAGGCAGAGCCTGGGTTATCAGGTCCCAGGCCTGGGTTCTTTTTAATTTTCAGGAAGAGACAGGCGGGATGGTGGGAGAGAGGACCTCTCCACCACAGCCCCCACGTCATATACCACCTGTCTCTTCTCCCAGTGAGCCCACCGTCTTCCAAAGCACTCATCATTTACTCCACCCATAGATCCTCTCACCATAGTCTCAGCCCCTTAAATTTCTATAGGTTGTAGGCAACAGCAACATGACATCATACCTAGTGCAGCACATTCATCTTCCACAGCTGGTCCAGCACCTTCTAAAATTGCTTTTGACACCCCTACAGAAGACATATTAATGATATAAACCATCTGTTAATATTCAATAGGTAGTTATAGCTTTTGCACATTAGGCTTTTATTCAGCTCACTCTTTGCATAATCCATTGACGTTCCCCTCCTTAGAAAATCACCTTTCTATAGCTGCCTTCATTCAATGGCAGGTGAATCAACAATCTGATCCACAGGAGGAGGGCACTGCCCAACAGCGGAAAGTCTCCAGTGTCTGCAGCTTTACCGTCTCTATTTGTACTGGGATATTTCTGCAGTTATTTAAGTTTTCTTTTTTTGCATTTTATGCTTACTACTTTACAAAATCGAATAAAAATATAAAAAGTTCTGAGATGAATGAGAAGCATGGATCTAAAAACTATCATAACCCTGAGCAATTTACTTAACTTCTTTGATTTTGTTATTTAATTTTGTTTGACTGGGTTTTTTGCAATTACAGATAGTTGGCTGGCTTCAGTCCAATGAATCTTCTGATCAAGGCTGCAGCCCCACCACCTTGGTCACATTTAAGGACAACTGGGTTCAGTGGTTGAAAACATGGACTTTTGCATTTTGGCACACTGGGTTGGAATTGAGTCCACCACTTACTAGCTAACATGTGACCAGTCAGTTCCTCACCTGTTACACAAAGGCTGGCATAACACTTTTCCTACATTGAACATTGAAAGAGATAACGGATGAGAATTACTTAACACAGAATCTGGCACACACAAAGTATAAATAAATGTTAGTTATTTCATTATCATGAAGATCTATTGATCTATTATCAATCTATCTACCTACCTACCTATATACCCATATCTACTTGATTATGAATTGTCTCTTTTTAAAAATCTCCTTTTTTCAGTTTGTTTTGGCCTCTGACTTTGCAATGGTGGTTTTTCTCAAATAGGTGATATTTGTCGCTCCATATTTTGGAAGCTCCTTGTGCAGGAGGCTTGCTGACTGATAGGCTTCAGTATAAGGTGAGCAGGCAGTAACTATTGGACTTTAGGATGATCAGGTTCACCCCAGAAGGATACTCCCATCTTCTGTCTAGAGGGTATAAGCCCATCTGCTACTCAAAGAGCCCCACGGGGATAGGGGCTGGGCACTCACTGTTCACTACAGACACCTCATTGAAACCATGTTCTCAGTCTAGCTCCCCGTTCTCATCTTACCTGTTCCCAGTGTGCTAAGTCTGCAAAGCTCTCTGGTTCAGTGTCTCTAAAAAAAATTACACCTCCCAACTCTGGCTAGGAAAGAGCAAGGGAAGTTGCTGCTGCACAGGATAGGGGATAGCATCAAAGGTCTCAGATTTCCATCCAATTCCATTTTCTCCTCTTTTCATCCCCTGCCTTCCCAGGTTCCTGCTGCCTCCAGTTCCTGTATTTCTAGGGGCTGTGGTTCTCTCCCGCAGGTACTGTTTTCTCCATTCTGTCAGCTGCCTCCACTGACTAGCTGCTTCTGAAAATATGTTGCTATCTCTGTTCACTGTTGTTTTCCCTCCAACTCTCTTTCTCTGTGGGTTCATACCCTTTTAATTCCTTTACATTTGCTCTGTCAGGGTTTCAAGAGGGAGCAAAAATAAATGCATATATTCAATTTACTGTGTTTTAAATAATTGAATGTTCTTTATGGTTTTATAAAAATTGAATGAAGCCCTAGCTTATAGAGTGTTGGCCTTTAGACCAAAGGATCCAGTCAAGGGATGTACCTTGGCTGCAGGCTCCTCCCCGGCCCACTCTCTAGTCAGGGCACCCGCAGGAGGTAACCAATTGATGGTGTTTCTCTCTGTTTTTCCCTCTCTCTTCCACTCTCTCTAAAAGATCAATGGAAAAATATCCTCAGGTGAGAATTAATTTTAAAAAAAAATTTTGAATGGATATTCTACAGACTCACTTCTGCATGGTAAGTTCCATAATATTTTTCCAATTTAGAAAATATTTTTTTAAATGTTAAATCTTTGTTGTTGAAAGTATTGCATATGTCCACATTTTCCCCATTGATCCCTTCTAGCTTGCCCTGGTCCCCCACCCCAGGCCTTTAGTATGCTATTGTCTATGTCTATGGAATATATATATATATATATATATATATATATATATATATATATATACACACTAGAGGCCAGGTGCATGAAATTCATGCACAGGGCGGAGGGGGGATGTCCCTCAGCCCAGCCTGTACCCTCCCCAATCTGGGACCCCTCGAGGGATGTCCGACTGCCAGTTTATGCAGTTGGGGGCTATCCAGCAGATGGACATTCCTCTTACAATCCAGGACTGCTGGCTCACAACTGTTCGCCTGCATGTCTTCCTGATTGCCCCTAACCACTTCTGCCTGCCAGCCTGATCACCCCCTAACCACTCCCATGATGCCCTGATTGATGTCTAACTGCTCCCCTGCCAGCTGGTTTGCTCCCAACTTCCCTCTTCTGCCTGCCTGATCACCCTTAACTGCCCTTCCCTGCAGGGTTCATTGCCTCCAACTGCCCTTCCTTGCAGGCCTGGTCCCTCTCAATTGCCCTCCCTTGCAGGCCTGGTGCCTCCCAACTGCCCTCCCCTGCTGGCCACATTGTGGTGGCCATCTTGTGTCCACATGGGGGCAACCATCTTTGACCACAAGGGGCAGCTATTGTGTGTTGGAGTAATGGTCAATCTGCATATTACTCTTTTATTAAATAGGATAGAGGCCTGGTGCATGAGTGTGGCCAGCTGGTTTGCCCTGAAGGGTGTCCCAGATCAGGATGGGGTTTCCCTTGGGGCATGGGGTGTCCTGAGTGAGAGGTCTGTGGTGGTTTGCAGGCCAGCCATGCCCCCTGGCAACCCAAGCGAAGGGCCTGGTATCTGGAATTTATTTACCTTCTACAATTGAAACTTTGTAGCCTGGAGTGGAGGCTTAGGCTGGCAAGGGCAGGTGGAAACCTTGGTTTCCTCTGTTGCCTGGGAAACCCAAGCCTCCCTTCTGCTTTCTGTGGCTGCAGCCATTTTGGTTGGGTTTATTTGCATACTTGCTCTGATTGGCTGGTGGTGTGCCTTGTGAATGTAACAGAGTGCTGATTAATTTGCATATTACTCTTTTATTAGGTAGGATACAAGTTCTTTGTATTAGGTAGGATACAAGATCTCTTCCTACCCAGCCAGCCATCCTATGTTTTATCTTGCCCTTTTAATTTAAAGATTAGTGTTTTATAATATACAAGATGTATCAGCATATGAGTAATGTATATAAGTTGTAAATAAATAGACATGTAGAGAGGGCATGCTCAAAAGTGTTATATCAAAGGGGCTGGTCAAATATTTTAAGGAAAATTAAGAAAAAGAGGTTGAATTTCATTTGGGTCAGTATACTATAGGGAGCAGTTATGGGAGGTGAGATGTGAGTATCAACATAAAAAGGGAAATAAAAATAGAAGAACTTAAAGCTGATTAAATTGTAAGTGTGGAATTTTGATAGTTCAGAGCTAAGAAAGGATGAGAGCTAACACTAGGTATAATGTATCAGATACACCCTACCTTTACATAACTTATACCCCATTTATGCTTCTTTGGTAGTAGGCAGAGAAAGTCAGGCTCAGAGAGGTTGAGTGATTTGCCCAAGGCCACAGGATGGTAAGTGGGATAGCCTGGATTGAAAGCCAAGTCTTTCTGATTCCAAGGCCTGTATATTTACAACACACCTCTCTGTCTACTCAGGACAACATTAGCCTCCATTTCCCTTCCAGAAATTGGTTTTATTAATGTTTACAATCAAGAATATAATTTAAATGAGGTACCTGATTTCAGGTTAAACATCCTTGTTGTTGAGTTTACAATAACATCTGCACTTTCTTTTGTAATATCTCCAATAGCAACCTGGAAAGTAATTGCACCAATTTTCATTTCATACACTGTGGGCCAAGGGCAAGTGACAGACCCAAAGATACCTGAAAAGAAAGGAGATGGGTGAAGGAGCAGCTGGCTCCTGCAGGAAAAACATGAAGGGTCTCTGCTTTCTTCCTTTCCCCTTGAAATAAATCCAAACATTGTCATGTCTCCTAGTCTATTAAGCTGCTGGGTGGGTGTTTTTTTGTGTGTGTATTTTTTTAAGGAAATCAGAAAACAATATTTTGTAGCAGTAGGAATATCTACATTTTCTCAGTTAAATAGGATGAGAAACATCTGCTTGACCATCTATTTGTCTGCAAAAGTTGCTGTGATGTCATGAGAGAGAAAGAAGGTGAGAGAGCAAAGTACACTCTCATTTCATGCTGACATTTCATGGAGATTCTTTTTTTTAACTTTATTGATGTATGGTTGACAAACAAAAATTGTAAACATTTAAGTGTGTATTGTCAGTTTTCATTGTGAAATGTTGCCACAATTGAGCTGATTAACACACCCATTCTCACACAGTTGCTGTGTGTGTGTGTGTGTGTGTGTGTGTGCGCGCGCGCGCGCGCGTGTGTGTGTGAGTGTAGTGAGAACCCTTGAGATCCACTCTCTTAGCAAATTTCAAGTATTTGATACATTATTATTAACTGTATTCCCCATGCTATAAATGAGGTCTCCAGAATTTATTCATCTTAGAACTAAAAGTTTGTGCTTTGGGCGTTCCTTTTATTACCATTTTACAAAAAGGAAAAATGGTCAGAGTGGATAGGTCATTTGTCCAATGTTAAACAACAGCTCACTAATCAACATGGAGCTCTTCCTCCCCTTCATATCCCACTGGAATAACAATAGCAAGGCTGCTCTGGGAAAATCACAGTGATATGCCATTTAACATGTTGACATATGACTGTCCACTCTACACTCTGAGGCTCTACAACTTAGATGTGCCATTTCTACTAATGCCATAAACTTTTTAGACCTCCATTTCCACATTTATACAATGGCAACAGAACCAACCACCTGCCCATGGGGCCATGGTATAAGTTTAAATAATATAATACTTATGAAAGCAATCAGTAAAGTTTAGTGTGCCATGCAAATTTCAGTTATCTTTAATTATCATACTAGAGGCCCGGTGCAGGAAATTCATGCACTTAGGGGGTTCCTCAGTCTTGGCTGTGCTCACCAGTTGTGAGCCCGGCTTCTGGCTGAGTGGCACTCCTTCCGTGGGAGCACACTGAGTGTCTGCCTCCTGGTGGTCAGTGCAGGTCATAGTGACCAGTTGTTCCACTGTTCAGTCAATTTGCCTATTAGCCTTTTACTATATAGGATCTTAGAAATTCTGGCCTCATTACCAGTAATTTCATTCACAACAATATGATCTATTCTTTAGAACACACTGACACTTTCTCCATTACTGATTTGTTCTTCACAGGAATTTGTCTCTTTTTATGGGACTTCAACAACACCAAAGAGTTACTAAGCAAAGGGAAACATTGCTCCAGTAGAACAAATTAACCAGCCAGACCTTGGGTATTTCCAACCATGATAATCCTTTCCTTGTTGAGATTTCCACTCCACCATCTAGTGAATTTATTTAAAAATGCCTAGAGAGAAAGAAACACAGTTACTGACCACAACAATGCTCTGTAGAAATATTAACCCAATTCTTTGGAACATGGAGAATCATCAAACAGGAACAATTGTTCTCTGTAGATTTTCTTATTTCAGAGACTTTTTAATCAAAGGGTTATGATTCATTTTAGGAATTTCCTCAATACCAGTGCTGAAGTAGAAAGTGCTGTTATTTATACATCTACAAAAGACATCAGATTGCACTTAGCTTGCCAGAAAGACCAGAAGAGATATGTAACCATACCTTACGGCTTTCATCATCATCAAGATGTACCAGAAAGTAAACTTTTTGTAAGGTTTTCAGCCACGCCCTGGTACTAAATTTGGACACTTCTGAAAGCATTAGTTCAGCAAATACAGCTTTGGGAAACCCCAGATTTCCTGTTCCAATCATGGGAAATGTAATTGATGAGAAAGATAGCCGTTCTACAGTCATCAAACAGTTCTTGATTATATTTGCCATTATCTGAAATGTATAAAATTATTTATATAAGTAAGGGCTCAAGCTGGTAGAAAACAGAAAAACTGTGGTTACAGCAACCCTGACCAAGCCCTCTCTGTTATCCTAGGTTTTGTCAGGGCTTATGGAGTCAGAATGAGAAACTAAGAGGAAGAGGACTTTTACAGAGATTCAAACTCATGCAAGAGAGAGGGTCCCAACAGTATGGAAATGTTATGAGTATCTCGTTGCAATTAAAATTGATGTTTATGAAAAGTTTTAAATAATATGGGCAAGTGTTTATATTATGTAAAAAAAGGATTAAAAATGGAAGAAATATTAACTAAAAATAAATATGCATAAAATAGAAGATAATATAGTAAAATGTTAATCAAAGTTATCTCTATGTGGCTGGATTATGATTTTTATTTTTGTGCCTTCTGTGTATTTTCTGCAAGGTACACATATTACTTTATATTCTGAAAAGAAAGGTTAGGGGAGTTAAATTAGGAAAAGAGATGAAAATTATATCATCAAAAGAAGGGCACTGACCCTTCTTCATTCTACACCACAAATATGGCTGCATTTCTTAGTTATACTGAAGGATTATTATGCTAATCTAATCTTCAGACACCATTTCTGGAGAATCCCAATGATTGCTATTCCTTTTAAAGGTCAATTTTTCTGAAATAACTGAAAGTTGTGATGGACTCTTTCCGAAGGGTAATAAAGATTTCAATAAATAAACAGGGCTAAATACATGTTAGGGTTTCTCAACCTGGGCCAGATAATTATTTGTTGTGAAGACTGGCATATGCCTTGTAGGGGATTTAGCAGCAGCCCTGGCCTCTACCCCTAGCTACCAGTAGCAGCTGTAACAGGCCAAATGTTTCCCTATGAGATAAATTCGGTTTGGTTGAGAACCACAGAACTATACCATGTCAGGAGATTACCAATGCTACCAAATGACTTTTTTTTTTTTTACCTGCAAAGAAGACTGTGCTCCATTATTCCAGTCTGGAGCCACAGCATGAAGCACAGCTTTGCAGTTCAGATTGCAGCCACTTGTCATGAATATGCTACCCACTTTCTCCTCTGTTTCCTGCCTGGTGGCATTTAACTCTGTCTGGAGCATGGGACCAGCTTTACACAAAAGAGACTGAGAGAGTGATCCCCTTCCAAGCTGAAGATCCGAGGGTACAGTGTTGACAATGACATCGGCCTTAATGAAAACAGCAACAATTTGTGAGAGGTTGGATCAATAAATAACTACTGAGCACCTTTGACCTACTAAGTATTGTGGGGTACTGCACAAGCTATGCTTTGCATCTCACACTGGCCTATCAGCCCTATCCTCAGGGAGCTTACAATCTGTTGTTAGCACTTAGACACAATAATCAGGTGAGCCCCAAAATTTAAAAATTAAGGAAATACATACCCACTACCATCAAGTCAAAAAGTTATGAGTCAGCCTAGAGCTATGAAAATGATTGAAACACCCAGAGATTAAAAATAAATAAATAAAATAAATGAAAGGCAGAGGCAGAAAGAGAAGTACAAAGAAAATTTGAGAGAGACTGATGAAGAAATAATTGCTTTTAGGCAGGCAGGAAGTGAGAATAATTGTTTTGATTTCATTAGTATACATAAAGAAAGAATGGGTCCATCTGAAAGGGGGTTTCTGATCAGCTTTAAAGGCCTAGACAAAGGAAGTTCACAGAAGTGAAGGTCAGCCTGTCCTACGGTACTCAGTTCTCTGATATCTATGCCAAGACCATCTCTTTGGTGAGATGGGGTCATGGCCTGATGCCAATAGATATTATATATTCAGTTCACCTAATTTCATTTATTTCAAATTTTTTTAATTTAATTCCCCCCCCCCCTCAAATTTGGAGGGAGAATACTGATCATGTGGATTTTGAGGATTCCAGACCCTTGGGGAGCTCTTCCTCATTGTAAATGAAAAGGTGTTTGTGCCTTGGGACCAATAATAGTTCTATTTCACAAGTTAACAATCAGCACTTATAGGTCCACCACAATCTTAAATGAAGTTAGTTAACATAAACTGATCTCTGGACCCAAGAAGGTCTTTGCAGGGACAAGAGTGAGTGAGTCTTCAAAAATAACAAACAAACAAACAAAAAAATAGATCCAACTCACTTTCTTCTCACTCCCACTTACAGCCTCACTCTCTGCTTACTGAATCAATATACTAACATGTAAAAGGTAAAATGGCCTTAATGTCCAAATCAGTTTTTTTTTAAAAAAAAAAACACATTTATGTTAAATATGCAATTATTAATTGCTATAGAAATTCCAAAAAAGGATAGGTATCATTTAGATTAGATTGTTTAGTAAAGTCTTTACAGAGAGGATAATGGCTAGAATCAAGACAGGTAAAAAGAACGCAGGAAAGCATTCTAAGTAGGTAACTATCTAAGAAAGTTTATGGAATTTAGGAAGGTCAGAAGGTTGGCCCATTTAGCTAAAAGACTGTCTCAATAGTGAGAGACAGGGCTGGGAACAGACTTAGAGCCAGATGATGGAGGACTCTGAAAAGCCAGCTTTTTCTGAACTTTATCCTATAGGCAGTGTGGAGTATCTGATATAACAATGTTTTAGGAATATGCATCAAACAGCAATGTAGCGGATAGATTGGAGGGTGAAAGACTAAAGGCAAGATGGCAAGGCCAGTACCAAGGGGATGAAAATGAATGGGTATGTACAAGACACCTGTGCAAGGAAGCTTGGAAACTCACTTGATAGTGAAAGGAATTCAGAGAAGAAAGAGTTTAAGAGGACTCCAAAGTTTATACAGCATCATCCATGGGTGAGAATAGGTTCCCTGGCATGATTTGACAAGAATTTAACAATCAATAGACAAATAGTGGAAAGACCGAGATCAGTGCTGGGGTAGTATCTTAACCCTGCCAGTACTGGCTTTACAATTGGTCTGAATAACCACTGCACTATGCCAATTCCTAGAGAGACAAAGAAATTTAGTGTGCTTTTGTGTCATTCAGTTTCTTTCTAGTCTGATTATATTCATCAAGCAGTCTCATAATAGTCATCTACAGAGCTCACTATTATCAGTAGCGATGGCAATTACCTTTCTTGTTGTAAATTAAATAATTACAATTCCATTTTACAAATGAGTTTCTTGAGTTTGATTAATATCAGGTCAAGTCTCGTTATAATAAGATTAAACTTTTTAACCTGTAGATCAAAGTCCTGAACCCATATGACAAAGGGGTCTACAAACTGCATTTATTCTAGAGAACATGAAGTAGCTGGCTACTTTGCCTCTTCCACCTTATTAGCTGCAGCAAAAGCAAAAAATAAAAATAAAAAAATTAATTCCCGTGGTTTATAATCCATAAGAGTCTAAATTTGTAAGAAATGTTCTCTACTCATTAGTCTTGAACATGTGCCATCTGAAGGTAAATATCAAGTGTCAAAATAGTGGTGGCTATAGAATTATGAAGACTTCAAATCAATAATAGTTCTCAGCCCTAGCTACATCTTAGAATCACTAAAAATGCTTTCAAAAACCTCTAACACTTAGATCATATACCTGACCAACTAAAATCAGGATCTCTAAGGTGGGGCCTGGGCATTGATATTTTAAGTTTTTCAGATGGTTCTGAATTGCAGTTAGGATTGTTTCATGGATGTCAATTATAAAGAGGACACAAGGCCTGCTAATTGATGATTCCAAGGAAAATGAAGCAATAGGAGGACAGGGGCAGGCAAGAGCCAAGCTGAGCATTTAGTACCTGTACTGGTAACTTTTCTCCCTCCTCATTCCTGCCATGCCTCAGAAAGTGCTCTGGCAGAAGCAACAGGGTGTGTTTGTGAAAGGTGATATTATAGCATGATATACATACGTCTTCCCCATTGATGCTGATAGAACAGGAGAATAAAATAGAGTTGGGTTGAGAATAAGTCAAGATAAGTTATCTATAACTAGAGGCCTGGTTCTTTAAATTTGTGCACAGGGGTGTATCCGTGTCCCTCAGCCCAGCCTACACCCTCTCCAATCTGGGACCCCTTGAGAGATGTCCGACTGCCCGTTTAGTCCTGATCCCACTGGTGGAATCAGGTCTAAACAGACAGTTGGACAACCTTCTCACAATGCAGGACTGCTGGCTCCCAACCGCTTGCCTGCCTGCCTGCCTAATTGCCCCTAACCACTTCTACCTGCTGCCTGATCACTCCCTAACCACTCTCCTGCCAGCCTGATCAATGCCTAATTGCTCCCCTGCTGGCCTGATTGCCCCTAGCTGCCCTCCCCTTCAGGCCTGGTCAGCCCAACTGCCCTCCCCTGCTGGCCTGGTTGCCCCCAACTTCTCTCCCCTGCAGGCCTGGTCCCTCCCAACTGCCCTCCCCTGCAGACATGGGTCCCCCCAACTGTCCTCCCCTACAGGCCTCGTTGCTCCCAATTGCCCTCCTCTGCTGGCCTGGTCACCCCTAACTGCCTTCCTCTGCAGGCCTGATCACCTCCAACTGTTCTCCCTTGCAGGCCTGGTTCCTCCCAACTGCCCTCCCCTGCTGGCCATCTTGTGGTAACCATCTTATGTCCACATAGGGGCTGCCATCTTGTGTGTTGGAGTGATGGTCAATTTGATATTACCTCTTTTTATTATATAGGATACTAAAAGCATAATATGCAAATTGATTGAACCACCGAATAGCAAAATGACCTTCCAGACAACCATGCTATGACACACACTGGCACCAGGCCAGCCAAGACAGGTGCGATGCGATTTGGGGCAGGCGCCATTGCTCCATAATTTCCCCACAGAGGAAGGCCCAGGCCACCCTCTGCAGAGCAATTGATGGGGAAGGAGATGGGGGGTGGGGGAGGGCTCCATGATCAATCGCCCTAGAGAGCGAGGCCCAGGCCACTGACTGGCAGGCTGTGTCAGGTGGGTGGGGTCTCCCTCTGTGGGGTGATCGATCTCAGGTTCCCTGACTATGCTGCCAGAGGATTCAGGCCAGGCTGAGGGACACCTCCACCCCCTACACACACACACACACACACACACACACACACACACACACAGCAAGTTCACAAATTTTGTGCACGGGGACTCTAGTAGAGAAATAAAAGAGGTAGGTTTGCACAACCTGGTTTGTGGTTAAACTTGGATCTCCCCATATGAGTACAGGTGGAAGAATATTGGAAATGGTAAGTATAACACTGCATGAACTTCAGGTGGGTTTAACTTCTCAAACTTATACAATCTTAATTGTTCACCTTAAATCACAGAACCAGTTCATTGGGCCCCATTGTTCCTTTATAGATTTACTAAATAGAACCACTTACACAGAAACATGAAACATTTCCACTTATCAGCACGAGTTTCAGCCCTTCTTGGGTATTGGTTGAGGCTACCTTTTGATTTGGGTTGTCATGGTATTTTGACTGTGAAGAAAACAGTAAAACACATGTAAAACACATTACCAGATAATGCTGTCTAAAGACTTTCTTCATAGGTATTTAAATAAAAAATAACTAATAGATTTCATAGACTTCTCTAACTCAACTCATAATTAGATTCAAAAGCAAGTAATTTATTATCACAATGTTTGAGTATCAACTGTATTTAATACCCTAACTTCTAATGAGTTCTTTTACTTATTATCCCAAGAATCCTAGTCTAGCAGACCCTGTCCATTTCCCCTGACTTACCACTTAAGGGTGCCTTATTCATATTGGCAACTGTATTTTCTACCTGAGGACTTCCTGTATGTAGTGCCAACGTCTGCTTTGCTTGCCAGTGTAGCAGAGAGGAAGTAAATTAAGCTGCCCTCCCTCACCCTCAAGCCCTCATTAACGATTGACAGGAGCTGGTGTAAAACTATTCAAGTAATCTTGTCTCCCAGATAGGGCTCACTCTGATTTCCCCAGTGGGAATAAGTAGTAACTGATTTGATAACACATCCTATCAGGGTTCTTTACTTTCCTATTTTAATTACTTGCAATTGAGCCCAGCCCATATGACGCAGTGGTTGAGTGTCGACCTATGAAACAGGAGGTTATGGTTTGATTCCCAGTCAGGGCACATGTCAGAGTTGCAGGTTGATTCCCAGTGTGGGGTGTGCCGAAGGCAGCTAATCAATGATTCTCTCCCATCACAGAGGCTTTTATCTCTCTCCCTCTTCCTTCCTTTCTGAAGTCATAAAAATATATATTTTTAAATCACTTGCACTTGCTTCTGTCTCAAGTCCTCATCTGGGGGAATCCAAAGTAAGACACACCCTGCAGTTTCCCAAAATAATGCCTTAGTTTGACCAGTAATCGTCATATAATTTTAGGATTTAAAGAGTCAACACAGATCATCCAGGACAGAAACATTATTCTTCTTAAAGGAAAAGAGTGTGCAAAGACATGAAGTCACTTGCTCAAAGTCAGACTACTAGCTAATGAAAGAAAAACGCAATACTTAAATCTGCTCTTCACAAAAGAGGAGCTCAGCCGAAACCGGTTTGGCTCAGTGGTAAAGCGTTGGTCTGCGGACTGAAAGATCCCAGGTTCGATTCCGGTCAAGGCATGTACATTGGTTGCGGGCACATCCCCGGTAGGGGGTGTGCAAGAGGCAGCTGGTCGATGTTTCTCTCTCATCGACGTCTCTAGCTCTCTATCTCTCTTCCTTCCTCTCTGTAAAAAATCAATAAAATATATTTTTTTTTTAAAAAGAGAGAGGAGCTCAATGGTAAAAACATGCCACATGTCACACACACACACACACACCTGTGACAGACATTATTCATTGGTAACAGCACTCTTTTTCAATTAATCCAGATACAGTCTCAGAATATTTCTCAACACGGAGCTCAGGCAACAACTATCATTTGATCAGCAATAACACATGAAATGAAATGTATTTTCCATGTCTGATCTAATTCAAAAAGGATATGAATTTTCTTTGCTTACAATAGTCTTAGAGAATTATTCGCACTCTACTTTGTGAAACAAACAGAAAACTCCAGAAGGACTGGGAATGGGCTTCTTGAACAATCCTTTTCACTTTCTCCAGAATGCCATTCTTCACTTGTACTCTTTTTCGTGCAATGTGGTATGTCAGGTGAAAGCATGAGCAATGATCTCTCACATTCAGAATTCCTCGGGTATGGACTCTTTCACAGGCACTGATGTGAAGTCTAGAAAACCTTTTAGCAGAACCAGCCACATTCTCTGTCACAATGTTTTGGCTGGTATTGTTAGTTGTGTTACAATTCTTTTTACACCCTCCAAACAACCTATTATTATGACCATTTCCTTGACATATCAATCAAAATCCTATCATCCTCTATGCTGGTTTTTTATGTCCTCCCATACCATTGGCTTCACATTCAGTTTTGGTGACTTGATATTTAGAAATAATATGAGAAAATTGTTTAGAAACTTTTCCATTCCAAGTCTTGTGTGCTACCTCCAGTCTTATTCAGCTGACTTGGGGCCATGTTACCTCACAGTGGCCCCTTCCCCTTTTATAATTTTCATTCCAATCAGGTGACACTTTCTCTGCAAGATTCATCCTTATGAAAGGATCCAGAGCCACCAGGAATGGTGTTGGCAGCTTTCTGAACGGTTCTTCCCTTCCAAGTAAGATTGTGTCCCAAGACACATAACAGAGAAACACAGACAATGGGCCTCTCTTTGAAGAAAAGCTTTTTGATCAAGTAGGTGTCCACCACTAAAAAATAAAAGGTAGATATCATTCAGACAAAATCTTTGGCACAAGAAGAAATCCTGACACTAATGAAACTCTGAAATACAGTATGTCTACTCTCTAAAATAGTACCACTGTCAAGCAGCTCAATGAAAGAGGTGGCATGCAGGAATGAAGTGGAGTTAATCCTCACCTAATGAAATAAATCTATTCCATTCATGGTTAGTTTGCAGTGAAGTTTTATAAAATTAATCTGGTTTTCCCTCTGACATTCAATATAATATTGGAGAGGTGATTTTTTTTTCCTGAAAAAAATCTGGCCCTAAAAATCTTTTTTAAAGTAAAAATAAAACAATGTGGCCCTGAGAGATTCAATAGATACAAACAATAATGCATGAACAACCAAAATAACCTATTAGAAGTTAAGCCAATGCCACTTTAAAAGAATAGTTATAATAGTCAAAAATATTAAAAACAATTGTGTGCTGTAATCAAAAGAAGTCATAAAATAACGTCAGATTCTCCTAAACAGTGATTCTCAACCTTCCTAATGCCGCGACCCTTTAATACAATCCCTCATGTTGTAGTGACCCCAAACCATAAAATTATTTTCGTTGCTACTTCATAACTGTAATTTTGCTACTGTTATGAATCGTAATGTAAATATCTGTGTTTTCCCATGGTCTTAGGCAACCCCTGTGAAAGGGTTGTTCGACCCACAGGTTGAGAACCGCTGCTCTAGAAGCAGAGCCTAGGATGGGAATATGCAAGTGATTTATTAAACTTGTATCCTTGGGAGAAACCTGTAAGAAGTGAGAGAAGATAGATAATGTGGTTTAGGTTAAGCCTGGCTTCTGTGTAACCCTTCAAGGAGTTCTGCAGAATATAAATTGTGTCACAGTTGAGACAAGAAAGCTGGGTTCTTGTACCTCCATACCAGTCAGTTATTGTCTATGGGCCCTCCTAGTTGAGAGATGAATGTAAACTCCCAGACACCTCCAGTTTTCAGAACTTCAGTCTCCTTCACAGCAAGACTTACAGCAGTTATAAGTGCACTAATAAATAAGATATCCTAGGGCATCTGGAAGAGGCACCAATTGGAAGGTAGAACACTTAGGGAGGTCTAAAGATTAACTTTAGAAGAAAGAGAATTTGACTAACCCATGAAGTCATGTAAAATTATCTAAGGGATTTTGGCTGACAGCAAATTCAGTATAAACTAAAAGTGATGTAACTGTGTTTGATGAGGGGAAAGGTCACCAAATGCTGGCAGGGATACAAAGCAAAGAGAACTATCATTCATTGCTGGTGGGAATGCAAAATGATGCAGCCACCTTGGAAGACAGTCTGGCAGATTCTTATAAAACTAAATATGCTTTTGCCATATGGTCCAGCATTTGCTCTCCTTGATATTTACCCAAATGAGTTGAAAACTTATATCCACACAAAACTTACACATAAATGCTGATAGCAGCAAAAGAGCTTTATTCATAATAGCCATAACTTGGAAACAACCAAGATGCCTTTCAATAAGTGAATGTCTAATAAATTGTGGTACTTGCGTAAAATAGAATGTTATTCAGAGATAAAAATAAATGAGCTAACAAGTTACAAAAAGACAGGGAGGAACACAAATGCCTGTTGCTAAAGTAAAAGCACCACTCTGAAAGGCTACATTTTGCATGATTCCAACTATATGACATTCTGAAAAAGGCAAAACTATGGAAACAGTACATAGAGACTACACAGATATCAGTGGCTGCCAGGAGGCTGGAGGAGGGAGAAAGGAATAGGTGGAGCACAGGGGATATTTAAGACTCTGAAATTATTCTGTATGAAACTGTAATTGTAGTCACTCACTAGTAACATGTATTAGTTAAAACCCATAGAACTGTGGACAAAAGGAGCCACATTCTAACCTGACAAGCTCAGAGAAAGCCTGCAAAGCTTTTAAAGTACCCACAAAGGATGGTGTAAAGTTAAACTTTAACTAAAAGCAGTTATGGTGGGTAGTCACCTCCTAGCTGGTATCTTCCCTGACAAGGTTAACTTTTACTTAACTGAGCCTGTCTTTTTGCATCTACTATAACATATCCTTGAAATGTTAGGGTAATTTGTAACTTCCCTTTTTTCCAGACCCCTTTGGGGCACAACCAAATATACCTGGGCACCAGGATTAAGACCATAAATTCCTTATTGTTATCATGATAATTGCTTACTGATAACTATCGTGCACCCACTTAAGTAATGTGTCTATCATTTTACTTTTTATCCAATCCCAGGGGTTTCCCTGCTTTGCTTTTTCCCACCTCCTTAAGCTATCACCAATGGATTTCATGTAACCCACTTAGATATCCTCTTTTGATGTAAAGTATAAAACAAAATGAAAAACCACCATTCTCAGGAGCATTATCCCAATCAGTTGAGGTTCTGCTTTCTGGCACTTGTCAACATTTGGCTCAAATAAACTCACAAAAATTCTTTATAGGTTTGAATGTTTTTACATTAGAGTGAACACTCATGTATTGGACTTTAGTTAACAATAATGTATCAATGCTTTTTCATCAGTTAAAACAAATATACTACCATAATGCAAGATGTTAATATTAGGGAAAACTGAGGTCAGTGTGGAGCATGCAGGAGGCAGTTGATCAATGATTCTTTCTCATCATTGATGTTTCTACCTTTTTCTCCCTCTCCTTTACTCTCTGAAATAAATAAAAATATATTAAAAATAAAATAAAATAATTTTAAATGGTACATATTTGGTCATATTATCCAAAATATAAACTACTTTGTGGCATAAGTACTTCAGGAG